GAATATTGCCACACTCAGTACATCTTGGGCAGAAGTCAGTGTTGTTGGTAGCTAGAATCATGCCCCTTTAAGCTAATAGAGTCTCTGTCAGTTATCTCTAGTAAGAGAGAAATAGAAGAATGACCACTGCCAGACAATGTGACTTCACATTTCAGCTGATCCCTAACCTTATATGCAGAGAGAAACAAAACTGACCTTAGGTGTAAAGTTAGTGCCAGCTCAAAACACATAATGAAGACTCCTTGAAGAGTGGTCGTGATGTTTCAGTGTGAAAGTCAATAACAAGTCAATAAAAAGCCCTTTTGATAGTTCAGGTCACCATCCTCCCTTTTAAACATGCTGCTAGTCCACTTCATTGCTACTAGGTACAGTCTTGTTATTATGCCAGTATATTTACAGAAATATGTCAGTGTTTCTCGGGAAATAAGAAATTCTGGTGCTTGTCTCTGTGAGACCCAGTGTTTCTTGGGAAATAGGAAATTCTGGTGCTTGTCTCTGTGAGACAAGAGTCCAGGGGGAATCTGAGAATTCGGATCTGTGACTTCCTTCTCACTCACTGCATTTGCCTGTTTGTATTTCACATTTACAGGAATGTGTTTCTCCTTCTATCTCTGTGTGGCCTTACTTTGCAGGTTCAGATAGGCTTGGAAGGCTGTAGGCTTGCTTGCAGGTAGAGGCTGTCATTTGTTTGGCCAAGTGAAGATTGCAGCAATAAAATGACTTTGCTGGAAAAAAGTTGGATTGTAAGACTGGCAATGCAGGTTCTACACTTGACTTGGCCATAGATTTTATGAGTGATCTTAAGAACCTTAGCCTCATTCTCACCCATAAAATAAAAGTAATATGTAAAATGCTTGGTGATTTCTGGATGAAAAATGCTATGTAAAAGTTCTATTACAAAAAAAAATCTTTATACATTTGATAATGGCATTCAGTTAGGAGCTGGTTTACCTCCTGACTCCCTTTAAAGCTAACATTTATCTATTAGTGATCAGACTTCCAACTTATTATTTGCTCAAAGAGGGAGAACTTCATGCCTTCCACAGAACAGCATGTATTTTATCATTATGCTCTAGCCAAGATAATGAGAGAATGAACATGAATTACTTGTTGATAAAGCAACTAGACACCTCACATCAGCACTGTCAGGATTATTTCCTATCACTGTCCAGTTATTTATTACAGCCAAACTAATGTAAATTATTAGAGTGTTCTGACTGAGAAGGTAATTAAAAAGATAGCAGAGAGGTCCTAATTGCTCTGTGTGTTGCAGGAAGGCATGCATTGAAAGGAGCAATCTGAATGGAATGCAAAGAAAAATGATCATCTGGGAGGGTATCTCCCAGCCCCGAGGGATTGCTGTTCACCCATTTGCTAAGTAAGGAGTGATAAACACAGTAAATTGTGTAATACTTGGAGAGGCTTTTCAAAAATGAACGAGCCAGCCTTGCCCTTCTGGCAGTCAAAACATGCATTAGTCTCATGCTAGTTTAGTCATTTTCTTGCAGAGTTGTGTGAACTGCTATGTTTTATAGCTGAGTTTCTTTTGTGAGCTGGGACATGTTCATTTCTCATACAGATTTAAAAAGAAATTACCTGAAGTATTAATGATATTGTATGCAGTTTAAGCTAAAGAAAAGGATGAACATCTGAAGTCACTCTGACAGATGGAAGCACCACAACAAACTTTGATGGTTCTATATCTATTAGTGCAAAAAAGGTAGTCACTTTTAATCAATAGTGGCTACAAAGGAGCCTTTTGGCCATGTTTCAGTTTCTGAGGAAACTAAACCTAATCTACTGTTGTGGAGGCTTGTTGGTTTAAATGCATCTTATATATTCTTAACTAGTGTTGAGATGATCACAGGAGTTCTGGGTGTTTAAACTAACGGTGCCAGTTTAATCAGTGGCAAAGTGTCATGGATTTCAGTCAATATACCTGTAGTTGGAGCATTTTAAATCTGCTGATCTTTATGAAAAATTTGTATGCTCTTAGCTTGCCATAATTAACTATTGGCTAAGGAACGAAGCAGCGTTGGGAAGGGTGTTTTGTTACCTTCCCTCTGAACATAAAAGACCTGAAAGGATCTTTCAGTAGAGGTTTAATGTGATAGAGACATTTTGCAGTAAAACTTTGAAGAACCGTTAGGCTCGGGGAGATTGTTTATTAGAATTATTGACAGAGGCGAAGTGTACAAGGGGAAAGGCAGGAGGAAATATCACTAAAACCTTCCTTTTCAGAAAGTTAATGGTGAAAGTATGAACCGATATTATAGTAATGTCCACACCTGTAAATATTAAAGAGGGATCTGAAACACAAGCAAGGCTATTGAAAGTACTGATCTCTGCATTGGCTACAACAAAACTGTTCCTGTAAAAAAAGCTAAGTGAATCTGTGGGTTATGTCAGTAAAATTGACAGAGACAACTGATGCCTGAGAAGGCTGGAGCCCAAAATTCAGAATTAATTTAAGGTTTTGAGTTGCCATCTAGCACTATCAGTGAGTAACACATAGCACTCTAGAGGAAGACCCTGGGAATCATGATTTTACTAAAAGGAAAAGATCCTGGGCCTGATACTGGTTAATGTTTTGAAAATAAAATAACCCATGTACTTTTGCTTGTTTTCCATGGGTACTGGGTAATTTTGATTCCATTTGTGTATTGTTACACCACTGTTTACACAAGGAGTTGGCTAATGCATCATCTTCTGTTGCCTGTGTTTGCTGTGATGTGGAAAATCAAGATGCAGATAGGAAGAACTGGCAGTTACCATAGGCAGGAGTTGTTTTTCAAAGGTTTCATGCCAGGGAACAGAGTAAGAATTCTGCATAAGTCCCAGTGTAATCACCTGGAGTCTTATGGCAAATGTGAAAAGACCAGCAGCCAATATGTTTGCTTGAAGCATGCACTTTTTCTCCTGTGACTCAGGGCTGTATTGCTCTGATCCAACCTTTCTGCTTTGAAAGAACTCCATGGAGAGGAGGACAAATATTTACTTACTGACTTCCTGTATTCATTTTGTTTTCTAAAGGAGATTATTCTGGACTGACATGGGGGTCAATCCCTGGATTGGCAGCTCTTCATTGGAAGGCATCGATCACCAGGTTATAGCCAGCACTGGTCTGGTGTGGCCCAGTGGAATAGCTCTCGACTACTTAGCTGACAAGGTGTACTGGTGTGATGCTAAGCGGTCGGTGGTTGAGAGTGCAAATCTGGATGGTTCTGGTCGTCGAATTCTTGCACAGAATGATGTAGGTGAGGCTTTGAGGTTGGTAATTACCTACTGCTGCTTGTCAGTGTGCATGTATATCCGCATATGTTGATGTGAATTACTGGCCAGCAGCTGTGCTGTATATCCATGTAACTCTGTGTTGAGGGTAATGGCATCGCTTAAGTTCTTCATTCTGTTACCCAGCTGGCTTTTATCTATTTTAGCACAAGGATGTCATTCAAACACTCTCTGCTTTTACTAATCACTCACTTTGCATTGCACAGAGGACTTCTCTGCTTTCACAGAAAAATGGAAAGAAGGAAAAAATTTAAAAATGTGTTTTGCTTGTTTCATGCATGGCTGCCTTGTTTAATTTGGGTTTTCTGTGTTTATTACACGAGCAAGTTATACTGATGTAAGCTAAAAGAGAATTGATCTTGGTCCTTAAGGTCCTTGAGCAACAAACCTCATCTACAGTGTTGACCAGTGCTGATTTTAAACACACAATAGATAACAAATGGAACATGATTTATACAATATGCTGGTAGTTGTCATGGCTGACATTTATATTGTTTGACACATAACTCTGTTGTTCTGGAGCAAGAAAACAGAAGTATTAACAACAATGAACTGAAGTTTTACCACATCTGAAATAAACCATGTGTTTAAAAGTCTTATACATGGCAAAATGTTTCTGGAGTGGAAGGTTCCTTTTGATCATGGTATCTCTCTGGGGACTATTTTGTAGGTATGCATAAAAAACATGGGCAGAATGAGGCTCTTGGCTCAATACCATGACTGCTATGGGTAAAGACTGTTAAGCAGCTGCTGGTCTAGTCTGTGTGCTGGGAAGGCCTGTGCTCATCTCCTAAGAGACATGCCCTCATAGTTGCCTTTGAAGGTGGTTGGAGTAATGGAGGAATCAGTGTTCTCAAGTTCATAAGACATCAAAAGTCCTGAGCAGAGTAATTTTTCAGCCTTCCTCCCTTTTCCCCTGCTGTGCATATTCTGCTATATGTTCCACATTGCAACTGATCTGCAAAGGAGGACCTGCTGAAAGTTTCACTTTGTTTCTCCACAAAGAATGAGACAGTGTCTTATGTGGAGAAAACAGAGAAGGAGAGCTAGGAGCACTGTAGAAACACAGTGTATGAAAAAGGAGGTAGGCTTGGAACAGTGTTTGGAGGAAAAAGAAAAGGACATCAACACCTGCACACAAAAAAGTGAAAGAGAGGAAGTGCAGACCTGTAGGAGTATGAATTTATAGAAGCAAAGAAACTTCATATCCTGATGTTTTGCTAGTGCTGTTAGCGTGACTGGAATTCAGCTTCTGTTCTTGGACAGCTGTATACTGGAGGATGGGGAGGTGGCACCTCTTCATAGGCATTCTGCTGTAGATTGAATTTTTTTTACAGTAGCTCCCTCTAGTGCTCCTGTAGTGAGAGCCCGTTCGGTACAGCTACGTGAAAAATAGATAAATTATTTCTGCTCTATTAGGTACAGCTACATGAAAAATAGATAAATTATTTCTGCTCTTCTGCTAACCCGTTTCCTGCTGTAAGTAAAAGAGCCTCTAAGCACCTGCCCAAGACAATGAACAACACAACTATTCCTTTTGTTTGTGTGATAGGTCAGGTTTGCACTGTTCTCAAAAGGGTTTGTGTGATTATGCATTTTTCTGTTCTTACTATCTCCATCAATTGACACTACTCTTCTAATTTTAATCCCTAATGAATTTGTTCTCTGAGAGGATAAGGAATTGCTGGTCAAAGGAGGGTACTCTTTATGAATAGTGCAAGCTATAGATCCTAAAATTGTGTGCAAATGATTGGGTGGGGACAGTATCTAGATCTTGGGCCGATTCTCAAATTTAATGGGAAGAAAAGCTAAGAACCAAGGCCAGTGATGAAGCATGGCTCAGTGGAGGTGGTAAAGTGCCAAGGATATGGTACAAAGTAAGGACTGGGACAAAGCAAACCTGCTTCAGCCAGGGAGCACCCACTCTGAAACCAGGTGGATGTCCATGGCAGAACAGTGTGTGTTCTTATCTTCCATTGCAGAAAACTTGCTCAAAGGCTATCTTGAAAACACGAGATTTCTAAGTTTATAGAAAGAATACATAGTCCCATGTGGTCTAATGACATTTTTCTATCATGAGGGAGATATTAAAAAGGATCAGAATTATTTTTCAAAGATCTTTATGTCTGCCTTTATATATGAATGTGTCCTCTGGATTCTGAATTGCTGAATTCTTATCTCTGTAAGTCAAACTAGGGATCTGAGTTTTCCTGGCACAGATAATATTGTGCTACCAAGGAAAAGTTCCTGTGCTGTGAATTTGGGGTGGAATTTCACTTGATGTTAGTCATATAAGTGTTAGATGCCCGGTCAAAGCTGGGATCCTAGCCAGCTAGGGTCCTGTTGTCATCAGTGAAAGAAGAGGAAGCTACGTGGATGATCTGTTGCTTCCTGTGGTTTGTGTTGGCTGTTACTGTTAGTTAGCAGGCTATATGCACCTGTGGAACACTGTATTGCTCTTGTGTGTACTTTTGGCACTTGCAGAGACCACACACTGGCTTTGTGGTCCTACCATGAGTCAGTGGCTACAGTGTCTGTAGCTCACAGGCTGCCCCATGCCAGCACTCTTAAGCATGATGACACATGCCATGTGCTCCTCTCCTCCTTGTTATGTGAAGATTGCAAAAGTAGCTGTGTACCTCAGCAGCTTTGTGCTGGGCCTCTTGCTGGCAGAGGAGGGAGGTACTTCAATTCTGAGAGCCTGGTCTCAGGGCTATTTCAAGAAATGATGATGTCTGAAGTAGAAGCATCTTGTGAACTTGATCTGGTTGGATTTCACTAGAAATCTAGAGAATGTACTGAGCCAGGCAAGTGTCATAGCCTCTTTTGCTAAGAGCATAAGTAACATCTGCCCATGGCTCATCATTCATGGATACTTATCCCTCCCCATGAGACTTCAAGTGGAGAACTGGCTATGGCTATGCCCCCATGGGGCTATGCCCCATGCTTTTGTTTTCATGATTTGTTTTGTATTTTCTGTAGATGTGGAAATGACAAATCTAATGTCTTTGTAGGTCATCCTTTTGCTGTAGCAGTGTTTGAGGACCACCTTTGGTTTTCTGACTGGTCTAAGCCATCACTAATGAGGGTGGACAAGAAGACTGGCCAAAACAGGGTACGTCTTCGAGGCAGCATGCTGAGACCCTCATCAATGGTTGTAGTTCATCCTTTGGCGAAACCAGGTATACTGCAAAAATTAAGCAGTCATTCCCTTCCAGCCTTCTCTTGTTCACTGACACCAGTAGAATAGATGCCCCTGGGTAGAGGAATATTTCCTCAGAAATAGGCTCTTTAAAAATCCTTTCGTCATCAAACTGGCATTTATTGAAAGCATCATCTGGGGGTGTGTCCCAAGTATGATAACAGATTTTGTATATTTATGATCATGCCCAAGAATAGATGCTGATCAATTGCCACAAAACTACCATAGTCATCTAACTCCTATTTATCCTAGTCAATTTTCACTCTCAAACACACAAATAATAGCAAATGACACATAGAAAGATGTATTAAGTTTTATTAGATTATTGGATCAAATAATTTGATTTTCTTTTGGGAACAGTCTCCCAGTAAGCAGAAAAAAGTTATTCGGTAGCCCAGGATTGACAGAAGGTAATCACAGGTTTCCTTTTCACTTGTACCTCTAAATATTAAAGGAGAAATAATAAAGGAACTAAAATAATGAAAAAACACGGCACATTTACTGGATACAGAACATGTGAATCTGATTTCCTGACAGAGACAAGGTGATAATATATACGCTTTGCTATATGCATCTGTTCTTAAAGAAATGTTTTTAAAAAAAGATGTCCTAGTTTTTGTCAGTCCTTATTATTTTTCCAACTGCTTCAACCCTGCACAGCTAAATGGAGATGTTGACTGAAGAAACAGATTGTTAAGTTGCCTATTTTTCTGCATTAGGGGCAAATCCTTGCCTTTATGAGAATGGAGGATGTGATCAGATCTGTGAAAACAATTTTGGAGTTGCCCATTGCAAGTGCCATCCAGGATTTGGGAAAACTCAAAATGGAAAAACCTGTCATGCTCTGGATTCTTCCAACTCAACAGCAGGTACAGTCCTCGAGTTCCAAAAAAAAAAGACCCTCCTTAAATCCTTGAGGATCCTGGCACATAGCAGTAGAAAAACTCACCTTGCTCTACAAAAGGAATGATGGTTTTTCTGAAGAATGAAAATGCTGGGGTGTTGTCCTGGAACCATAACATGTTGTCTGACCACTGTAATTTTTTCCTTGGCATATTAGTAGTGAAAGAGATGTGTGCGGTGCTGGCAAGTATTGTGAGCAATGTCATATTCCTTCTTTTTGTTTTGAAGAAAAACCAGCAGTGAGTTGTTTTAGGCATACTTTGAGGTCAGAAACAGGTTAGTCTGGGAGGATATTTATGTTTATTTTAAAAGAAAACCACCATGATTATTGGAAATTAGACAAGTGGTAGAAAATCAGAAGGTTAGTTCAGTAGAATTGAATAGTCTGTGTCACTTTTTTCTTGTCTTTTTCAGGAAGTGTCTCTGTGCACAAGGACATAATGCCAATGCCACCATCAGAGACCTTGCCTCAGAGCACACAGAGCAGTAGAATTTTCAAGGATACAGACAGTGGGGAAAAACAGCAAACAATTTTTTTGAGGGCTGAAATCATGGTATCAGGTATAGTCTGATGGTTGTCTTCCTTCCATTTACTGTGAGTCTCTGAACAGGTTTATAGAACAGAAAGAAATCATACACCTTAAAGGAAGAAAGGCTCATTGTCCGGACTGGTGGCATTCATGCTCTTAACCTTCATACAAGAGCTTGAGTCTATGCAATTATGCCAAGTAGGACTGCTTTTTTTGTTTGTTTGTCAACAAAAATCGATAATATTATCGAGGTCTAGAGAACAAACATTTCTAATTTGGAACACCTGTGAAAGTCTCTCCCTTAGATTTTTATAATAAATTAAGTTCCTCTGAATAAAGTTGAAGTAAAACCATTGAATTCGACATATGTTTGATGACACTAGATCATTGCATTTTACAATAGGTTTTGAATGCAATATTCAGAAATCCTGATGCTAAATGGTCAGATTCATCTAGACAAAGAGTAAGGTCCTAATGCTTGTATTGGCTTGTCATCATTAATCCTGGAGAGCTAAGTTTCAAATGTTGACTACGTTCCCCTTTTCTTAGCTTTTTTGGTTGGTTGGTTGGTGTTTGGGTTTTTTTTTGTTTCCTTTATGTCCAGTACCTCCTTTGGTCTGTCCAATTATGTCTAGTATTTTTTTCTGTTTTATTTTGTTTATGCTATAGATCAAGATGATTGCGCTGCACTAGAATGTTATGTCAATGCAGAGTGTATTTTGCTGGAAGATGGTGCGATGTGCCAGTGTTTGAAAGGATTTACCAGAAAGGGGAAATCATGCTATGGTAATAAAAGACATCAATATAACTTTTGGAAAACTGTAGATTGGGGGACAGGAAGAAAATCTATATTCTTTCACATTGGCAGATCTGCTGTGTGGGTCATCACAGAAAAGTCAATTGTATGAGCAGAGAGCATATGAAATGAAATGGCTAAATATCACATGCTTTATTTTCCCCTGAGTCATGAGTGTTAATCCTATTAATATTAACAAGCATTAATAGAAATAAAACCATAATGTATTTATTTGTAATAATTGGCTAATTATAAAAGCTCAGTCCTATGATCAGACGTGATAGTTGATATATAATTTAGATGTATTAAGGAATCTCTTAAAAATTAGTATTCCTGATGTAATGTTTATATAAAAGTGCTGCTCTTGCTTCTTTCTAGCACTAGAAAGAGACTCTAACAACCATACAACATGTTGCTCAGGATGGTTTTAAAATTTTTGGACTCACATGCAACATAAATAAAATACTGTTCTTTCATAAAGACCAAGAGAGGAAGCTATTAGAAAAAAAAAATCATTTTGTGGCTAAGCATGAAGACTCAGAAGAGTCTATGTTATTATAGAAATGAAAAAATACTAGAAGGTGAAATGGGTATTTTTTACATTGTGATACCTTTTTTTTTTTTTGAGTCTTATGTGTTCTTTCACAAAATGAAGTTTCTCAATGATCTTGGAGCTCTTTTCCAACCTAAAGGATTCTATGATTCTAAAATATAAGAGTTTGTTCTGAATTGGAACATTTCCTTGGAACAGATTTTTTGAAACAAGTGTTATTTGTGGCACCTCTAGGTCCCCAGTTGATATACTTGCTTGACTGTATTAGGATCTTTAGAACATGTGCATCAAATTTCATACCAAAAAAGACCAGAAAGTCCTTATCTTTCCATTTGCTTCAGATGCATAAAAGAAAAGTGACAGCACAGTCTGAAGGAGATTCATGCTGTAGGTGTTTCCTTTTGTCGATATGCTTGATGGTTTCATGACCCATGTGTCCTGTCTCCTTGTTTTGTCAAACAGATGTTGATGAGTGTGCTGTAAACATGGACCGCTGTAATCGGAGTGTGTCAGGCTGTATCAATACAGAAGGAGGTTATGTCTGTAAGTGCCTGGAGGGCTACACTGGAGATGGAATCCACTGCTATGGTAAGGGTGTGCGTGAAGGCTGTGCTGTGACTGGAAGGCTGGGGCAGGATGAATGAGCAAGAGACATATCTGATGATTTGGGCTAGCCTTCCATCAAGCTGTGAAGCTGTTAACTGAATTGTTCTGGTTCTTTTTGAATAATCTCATAGGGGCATGGATCCTAACAGTGGCTCCTCTACACAGCTGACATTTATAATTTCTGCCTTTTTTATTCTTTCCTCCCTGTTAGGAGTGTGGTAACCTCAGCAACTATCAATATGCAAAGCCTGTAGTTGTCAGTGAACAGCTCCTCTCAGTGTTTGCACTTCTTTAGTAGCTATAGAAGGAGAGAGAGGAAGAGTGAAAGGGAGGAGGGAAGTGGATGTGAAGCAGTAGAGCTTTATTGGAAATCATTGCTATGAATATAAACGAAAGGAGGTATTGAGTGTGTCATAATACTCATCAAATAATTCCAGGTCTGTTTAATAGGAATGAAGTTCAAGGTGTGACACTGACAACTTGAGTACATATAGAGTCTTGTTAATCAGACTCACTGATTTTCTGATCCAGCTCTAATGCCAGGTCTTTAGTTCACTCTCTACATTTCTTAATTTCTTAATCCATTTTAGTGGTAAATATGAACAGGAAGCTTTTTCTTTCCAGTGTTTGACTAGCACAGAGTTTGTTCAGAGCTTTGTGAGAGTCTTGGCTTCTCCTTTGTCCTTTTTTTTTGCCTCTTTTTTCCCTTTATAGCCTCATTCAAAGCCCATTAAATTTGAACCAATTCTTGCATAATTTTTACTGGCCTTTTGCTCTTCAATGCAGATTAGGATGACTGAAAAATTAAGAACAATATCATTATTATGGGCAGGGTGTGGAAAGTATCAGAGGCAGAAGATTCAAAATGGCATTTTTCCTACAGTGGTCAGAGACTCAGAGCTCATGTCTTTGAGGATGTTTGGAATTTCAGATAGAAGTATACACAGAAGTGACAAGTTCCCCTTGCTGTCCCAGCACCTGTAGAAGTCATGCCCCCAAGGCAGCCCAGGCTCTCACTGTCTGTGGTATGGTTGCTTAGCTAGAATGATTGTGGTACCTACCACTATTACTGAAAAAGAGTCTATTGTATTCCTGAAGTCTCTAAGTCCAGAAAATGGTAAGTTTCACAGCATTTTATAAAAGATGCAATATTGTTATGACATAAACAGAGCTGGAACTAATTTTGTGTTTGATGAATTGAAATGTACTATAAACACTAGAAACTGATAAGAGATTTTGTACACACAGTGTCCATTAATGTGTCGGTGCATCCAGTGATAGCACAAGATGAGTTCATGTTGTGTTGTTGAAATCACATTTCTTGGAATATGCTGCAACGATTTTGCTCCCGTTTTTTTCTTTTTTAAAAGTGCTCTGAATTTTCTATATTGTTTTGAGCCAGAGCCTGTTAATTTTACTGTAGAAAAAGTCCCAGTGGTTTAAGCACTCTTCACAAAAATTGGGGTAGTAGATCTGTGATTGCTCAAAGTAGGTATGGCACATGTACTCAGCTGAGAGTTCATAAAATGAATCAGAGGCTCCCAAACTCTGGTATGTGAACCCTTTCAAAGGTTCCACCACTGAGGGAGGTGCCACCCTGGCAGGAGCTCTGCCATGGGCTGTGCTAGAGAAGATGTGGAGACAGATGTGCAGCAGGATGGGGGGGAGAGGTATATATGGGCTCTGAGCCTGGAAACCCTAGTTGTAATCAGGGAACCACTTCACAGTAATTCAGAGCCTCACACATTAAAGTCTTCACAAAACCTGAATAAATCTCTGGGTTTCTAGACCCTTTCCTTCTGCCTAAACTTTTTGTTTAGGCTGACCTAGGCGGGTGGTACAGGGGTGGGCAACTCCCCACTCCCAAACCTTTCTGCTGTCTTACTGCAAGAATACCAACTAAAAGTACTCCTTCAGGGTGGAAGATATGACTAGCAATGCCAGGAGAACATATCTTGCACAAATAAGTCTTCTATTCAACTCTATTTTACTTATTATGTTTCATGGAGAAGCCTCTCCTTCCTTCTCCCTGTGGAGAGCTTTTGCAGCACCAGCATAGGATGCTCTGAGTCTGTGAAGTCTGTGATCACTTGCCATAGAAAGTTTGCTAGTTGCTTTTCCATTAGGTTTTCCATGAAGGCATATCTGCAGAGGGAGGTCTTTGGTGTTTTTACCCCACTGCCAGGGGACTACAGTGCTGCAGCTGCTGCCCTTTTAACTGATGCTCTGAGGCATTTCATTCTTCTAACTGCAGACTGTTTGGGTGACAGATATTGATGAGTGCAAGATGGGGTCCCACACCTGTGGAGAGAACGAAACCTGCACAAATACAGAAGGAAACTTCACTTGCTCCTGTGCTGATGATGCTTCTGGAACTGGCATCGGTTGCAGTGAGTAAATGGAGGGAGCAAATAAAACAAAGTGGCCTTTGATTCAGAACAGTGTTCTTGGATAAATTGTTATACCTGGAAACTAAAGAATCCCTTTATAGTGGCATACTGACCAACTTGTGGATCCATTTAGCATTGCTTCAGGAGGCTATTTTGAGGTGGACTAAGGAGACTAGACCTGAGTTTAGTTTGGAAATATCTACATTAAGGTTCAATGCTAATTTTTAGTGTCTAAATGTAACAACAAGTCTATCTAATGGCCTTTACAATCAACAGCAGAAGTAAATGCTCCTTGGAAGTAACATCTTTGGAGATTTTAGTCTGTATCATTTTTCAAACCCTGTGCTTTCTTTCCCTCTGCAGAAGGCTAGCTCAGGAACTGTACAGAATTTAACTCTTCAGAATAAGCTTGTCTTTCAGATCCAGTCACAAATTTTTCAAAAGGGCTCTGAAACCCTTTAGAAAATCTAATGACCAGTTTACTGAAGTGAGCTGCTGCAGGTTCAGCACTAGTGACTGTCTGACCCTTATTTCAGTGCCTCAGTGTGACAGCAGCATCATCTGAAAATGCAGAGCAGAGTGACTCATTGTCTCACTCTATCAGCCCCTTTGGTCAGGGTGAGTTTTACTCCAGATCAAGTGACTGTCTGATGATGGAGGGACACTGTGTGATTATCACTGAGCCATTTCTTTAGAAGAACAGAAGAAAACGATGGCTTTCTTAAATAGAACACCTAACAGAATTCCCATCCCCTTTTTAGTTGCCTGAGCTTTCAGTAGTTTAAGGTGTCACTTAGTAAATTATGATCTTAAATGATGCATGACTTGGAAGTAATGTTTTCTAAGTCCCTCATCTGTCAGTCTGACCTCATATCTTCATAGGTGTTAACACTGTTTTAGTATTTTACCTAATAAGCTGTTTTAGAAAGGTGAAATTTTCTTTACAGAATGTGCACACACCTAGGGCTTGCTAAAATCACTCATCCCTTTCCATTCAGGCTCTATGCCATGGCAGTTCTCCTGCAAATGAATTTTAAAAAAACAAATGCCATTGAAGGTCATGTTGCAATAAAACTGGTGTGAGTCATAAAAATCATCCCATAATTACATGAGAGTGATTAGACATGTTTTTGCTAAGCCATACTGCTAAAAATTCTTTGCCATATAGCTGTTTTGTTCTGACCTATAGATTTGGTATAGCATCAAAGTAAGCAAGAAAACACTCCTTTTCTGTAGGGGCATGTCTGCACTGTAGGTCATGCTGTGCAGAGATATTAGACCTACCTTTAAAACTAGATAGCTTGGATAGCTGTGTAGTTGACAGTGTGTTCAATTCAGAGCAGGCTACTGATCTTTGAAGATCTGGATGAATAGGGTTCCCTGCTTCCCCAGTGATGCTGTTATCTACCTGAGCTAGCCTGAAACAATAAAAAATGTGATCTGCCACCACACACAGGTGCAATCAACTGGATGGCAGCAGAGTAGAAATAATCTGCAAAAGAATGACAAGTTGCACGTGAAAACTTCTGAGATCCAAGTGCATAAAATACAGTCACCCTTCACCTGTATCTCTGACTCTGGTGCTTTATGCATGGTAGAGACTCACCATACCCCAAAGCTGCCTAGGCTGCAAAAATCATTTAAGTGTAAGCACCTAGAGAGTCAGTGCAGTGCTTCTTCAGAGCTGTATTCACACATCTAAATAGGCAGAACTCAGTCAACCACTTTAGTTCTTTCACTGCAAGTCTAAAATCAAACTTAATTAGTAATTTGATCTAAATTTATGTGTGCTTAAATTTGATAACAACATAAGTAAATAGGTAAAACACAAGTAATTAAATGAAATCAGGTATTTTTACCTACTTTCATACCTTGAAGTTCTGTAACTTTCATAAGATCATGTTGCAATGTTGCCAAAATTTGAGACGTCCTTGTGATATCCTCTGTTTCAGAATCCACTGTTCCCCCAACTGTTGTCAGCAATGGATACTCTACACATGCTGTGCAAGGTGATATTATAGGATGCCCTCCCTCGTATGAGTCATACTGCCTCCATGGTGGAGTGTGCAATTATGTTGCTGATCTACAAGACTATGCCTGCAAGTAAGTACGGAAATTTGTATTTTCTGTGCTGCTGAATGGCACCCTTTGGGTGTCACCCTTAGTTAAGTGCAGGCAGTGAAAAGTTTGTCCACAAATTATCTGTTCATCACTCATTCTAGCAATTAGCATTAGACTCTCCTCTTTTCTGTAAGTGATTGCTGTAAGTTTCAGTATGTGGCCACTCCATTCACACCCATTGCAATTAATAGTAGGATTGTATTTGTTCCCTAAACACTCAATTCTTTGCTTTGGAAATGGGAGGTAAGTTGTTAAATGACTTAATGCTCATGGCATCATGAAAGAGGTGTTTACTGTCTCTCCTGTACATATGGTGCTGACTTGTACCTCCCTTTTGGCCTTGCTGTTCATGAGTAGCATTCACTGGAATGGAAGAGTACACCTCTGTCTTGTCTCCTCTGATTGGGACCAAGGAGAAGACTTCTGGTATCAGCATCTTCCCTTAGAGTTTGAAGAGTCTTGGACACTGGCAGAAAGGATACAGCATAAATGGCCCTCTAAAAATAGGGAGTGTAGCAACGAGACCTCAAAAATTAGACCTACTTCTCCCATCAATATTTTTGTGAAGTCTAATTCTGGGTTCCCTAAATGCAGGTACTGATAAAAGCAAGGAGAATCTCATCTCTCCAGAAGTCAGCCTTGACCTGGTCAATGTGACAACCTAGTCCCATGGGGTAATAATTTCTTAAAAATCTTTAGTGCTGGCATTTAAGTGTGTAGCTTGATTATATTTGAATCTCTGCTATATCTTTCTTCAAAAGCAAGCATAAAAGTGTTTACAGTGCAACAAATCCAATGCTTGCCTCCTCCCCTGGGTTTTGGCCTGTAAGGGAGGACCTGTGCTGGGGGTGGATTCTCTTCCAGAGTAGACAGATCTCCCTCTATGTCTCAGTAATTCGGGTGGCCCTGGTATAACCCTGGAGTGAGGAGATCAAGCTTTGTGCTGAGGAATGTCTTTGACCCACTATTCCCACAGGTCTTCCTTGTACTGCAGTGCAGGAATCACTGTGCCAGCCCATTCCTGCAAGTAGAGTCAAATCCTAGGCTTTCTCTTTTTGTAAACCTAGGTACCTGCAGGAATATGAAAAGAGTGTCTCATGGACATGCATGGGAATGAAGTGAATGCTTTGTGCCTTGGCTTTCTGATGCTCAGCAAAGCCCTTGAGCAAAACCTATACGGGAGACAGATTCATGATGATCTCTGATATTTCTTGTGGGTTTTTTAGTGTAAATCTTAGAGGCATTGAAAACGATCTTTTTTGACCGTATAGAGTTTCTCTTATTGAAATTAAAGGGTCTAAAACTGCAGAAATTTCAAATTGTATTGCATCTTTTCAATTTTTATTTGTTGAGTGTTAGTGCATAGTAAGAATCCAAATGTACATATTCTTCGGTTCTAAAAGTAGAAGCAGTTGAAAAAATTAAGGACCAACCATTATCTTGGGGGCCAGGGTTTGTGTCATGATCTTGCTGGATCCTGACCTTGCTGAATTCTCACTAGATGGCAGCATTCATTCATATAGGCTGTAATATATTAAATACAAAAGCAAAGTAATGAAAAAGTGTTATCTAGAAAAAATATCTAGCAAAAATCACATGCCAAATGTGATTTGTATTGTAATTCATGGAAAGTCTTGCACTAGAAAGTAGATCTTACAGTATATTTGAAATCCATTGTGATCTAACATTAAAAAAAATAGCATTTTTTCTGCCTTCCAACACATATGCATTCTAAATTGGGACAGAATTAGAATCCTTGTGCCTGATTTAATAATAAACGATGATATAATGTTTTCAGGGCATTAGGTAAAAGCTGCTGCAGGCCAAATGCAGCTTCTTTTGCTCATTTGAACAGCTCTTGGCCTTGAGTAAAGTTAGACCAGTAAGAATTGTGAGAAGGTGTTGAGCCTACATTGCTGCAGATTGCTATGAATTGAATATACTTTTAATTTTTTTACATTTATTATTTGTGTGTCTTGCCTTGGACAGTAAAAATAGGCTGGGATTATTTTTGATGTATTCCTTGCTTTGTACTAATTTTGATTTGAGGGTTTCATGCATTGATAAGATATCTCTATGCTGAGATTTACAATGGCAAAACCAAACAAATAAAAATAACCCCAACTGGCTACAGAAGAAGCTTGTATCAAAACTAAATTTTAAATATATTTCTAACCCACATGAGTGGCTTTTAAAAACACTTTAGTTCATCTTTAACTTTAATGATTCAGATTAAAATTTGATTCCCTTATCCAGATCACTCTGAAAATACAAGTCCTATATTGCTCCCTCAAAAGAAAGGGAAGCTAGCTGCAGGAAGCAGTTAAATGGAAAAACTCAGGGAAACACTGGTCATGCAGCAGTATTTAAGAGAAATTGTTTTTCTATTATTTTATCCATTGGAATCTGGAAATAATATTCTTTCTGCATAATTCTGTAGGTGATTCAATAGCTTTAAGTAAAAAGAAAAGATTTTTAATATCGAATTCTCCAGAATTTAACAACATTCCTTTCAAGTTGTTTTGTCTTCACCACTTCTAAATTCAACTGGATATTTCTGTAGCGGTTGCCAGTGGTAAGTCTATACAGGAGGTGATTGAAGTGGTGGTCTGGGGCTTTTCCTCTGCCACCAGTTCCAAAGTGTGCTGACTTGCTTTGGCAGCTGTGTGACAGGCTACGTCGGGGAGCGGTGCCAGTTCAGCGACCTGGAGTGGTGGGAGCAGCAGCGTGCCGAGCGGCTGAAGATGAGGAATATCACCATTACAGTGTGTGCAGCTGTGCTGGTCCTCCTGCTGCTGCTGGGCTTCCTGGCTGCCTACTGCCACAGGTAGGTATCCCAAACATGTGATCCTGTGGCACAAACAATGAATTGATGCTGACTTTCACAGAGTTCTCATGGTGTTCCTCAGCTAATGGAAATCATCATACCATCCTTGTTACTATTTTGATTTTCAGTAACTGGATCTATGAATAATGCAGAAAATTCTGGGATGTCCCTTGCCTGTAGAACTCTTGTTGGTGTCAGTGAGCAACATGTGTCTGGGAGGAAGAAGAATAGACCTTATTATGTTTGGAGAGGAGCCATAATTTGTATTGAGAGAATTCAGGAGCATGCAATTTACTTCTTTCTTGGTTTCCCTTAAGAACTCTAGATATCTGAAACTGTCATGGTAGGGTTTGGCTCTTCTCTGTTAGCTATCCCATTAGTTTGATTTTGTTTCCCCTTCAGTGTAGAGAGGCACCTGAAAGTTTCCTTGCTGCCAAAAGAAGCAGCCTACTAACCTTCCAAGAGCATCCACAGTGATGCTTCCAGCAATGAACATGAAAGCAGTTTACCTGGCAGTAGATAGAGTAAAATCAGGGATGTGAATCTAGGCACATCTGTTCTAAAAGTACTCCCTGGCATTTCCCATGATTGTAATGAATTTTGCAGGTTTGGGATTCTTCTCTTGGCAAAATGAATCCCTAAAGTCACTTAAAGAATCCAGTCTGATGTGAAATTAAATGTCATCAATGCCCCTTAAACTGAAAAGTATTAAGTATTTAATAAGTTAGAGGCTTTTGGCCATAACCTTGGCAGATAACTGTTCTCAGAGGCTTGTTTAAATGCATATTTATATTTAAAAATAAACAAACAAAAAGCCAGACAGCAGCCAAGTCAAGAGTCTCCTGCTGCATGCTGACCTGCCCCCCATTGCAGGATTTTTGTTTGCATTTAGTTCAGTTTTAAAATTAGAATCTCCTAGGCATGAAAGGTTAAGCTACAAAAGAAGATAACTATGGAAGGCAATATATTTCATTCTTGTTTAATGGTTCTTGGCATATTTAGTTCATAAAAGTAGAGAAGCTGCCACATTTCTTGTTTTCTGTTAACTAATGGTTGAGGTCCTTAATTAAAGCTAAGTGCAAAATGGTTTGTTCTCCTGACCTGGCATTCATATGTTAATCAGTGGATACATACAGAATAGAAAAGAAATTCAGATATATTTCATATATTCTGTCGTGAAAAATAGACAAAATATGACTTGTTTTAAGGTGTGAATTTATTTTGTTCCCTTCCTCTCTTTTTTGACATTTCTCCCTGATTTACCTTTCTTTCTTGCCACATGTTTTTGATCAATATCAGTACTTACCACAACAACAATTTTCAATTACGTGCTTGACTGAATTTGAACTGCAGCTATTATTAGGATAACTAAATCAAAATGAAACCACTGATCTAAAATTCCTATTTAACTGGAGTCTAGAAACCAGTAGTTGGGTTGAGATTGCTGTACCACTTTTTCACATAATCTACTGTACTTCGAAATGTAGTAAGTCCATAACAGTCCTGTTCCTTTCCCTGTAAAATGGAGACAAGTATCTCCTCTTAACTGAAGGAAATGCAGCTGGAGGTCTCCACTTGCCAAATTGAAAAATGTGTAAACTGGAGGCCAAGAATACCGAAGTATTGTGTGGATTTGTTCAATGACTGTAGCATGTGGAAGAACATTGTGTCATTCTTAATGTTAGGTTTATGTAGTCTGACTGTATAGTATGCCAAGTTTCTTATCTTCCTTGGGAAACAAGGAAAAAACTCTTCCACCAAAAAAAAAAATTAATTTCTGAATCATAGATTTGACACTGACAATTCCTCCACCTCAATTGGCCAAGGCCATGCAAAAATCAACAGTAGGACTGGGACTAGGATTGATAAATTCTTTGCCTCTTGCCCATGCTCAGTCAACTAGATTTCACTGCCTTGTCTGCTTGTGCTCAGTTGCACTCATGCCCACCAAATCCATCTGGCATTTGCCACTCGATGCTATGCAGTATGATGCAGAATTACTGATCCTCTTGACCTGAGCACCCTGCTGAGGACTGTGTCTGTGTGTGAGCTCTGTGCAGTGGATTTTGTAACTCTTGATTAACTGGCTCAGCTTTTGTCAGCACTGTGAGCTGCAATGCAGAATTGGTACATCCAAGTGGCAAAACATGAAGAGCAGCCTTGCTCATGATGTCAGGGAAAGTCAAAATGGACTAATTTACCTTATTTCTCAGCATTCTGCTCTGTGGATATATCCTCAGATCTGACACCTATCTGATTTCATATTAGCAGTCCCAGTCTTATCCTCTACTGGAGACAATAACTTTTTTTTTTTCCAATATTTGAATATGCAGAAACATGTTATAGAATACAATATCTATAGTGGAGACAGACCTGTCATGTTTCTAGCAAAAAGCAAAATTTATTTACATTGTACTTTCATAAAGGGAGCAACATATGATAATCATGGTATGTGCTCTTTCTCAGTTAATATATAAAAGTTATGTAGAAAGAAAAGGAAAATTCCTAAAGAAAAGGAAAATTCCTATTTTCTTTGGTATGTATCTATTAAATTTTATTTAAAATAGATGAAGTAAAAGGATGTTATAATTTGAGACCTCCAGAGCCTGAAGAGTGTAATATTACTTTTGTGAACTGATGTCTAGGAAGAGAAATAATATGTATAAAAGTGAATAAAGATGTACTGGTTTGGATCTCAAGTGGTGTCAAAAAAAAATTATGTTTGGGTCTATATTGGCTTTTAAAACTTTTAAAAGTGCTGTCTAACGACAAAAAACAGCAATTTTAAAATTTATGTAACTAGCCACTTAGAGCTGATCATTCATACTTTTTCCAACTCCAGATTGTACTCCTGTCTTTTTTCCCCTTGAGCTAATTCCGTTGGTCATGCATTTTTCCTGGGAGGTCTTAGTTCCATGCTTTTTGAGTCTTTCAGTTTGTTTATTTCATAGTAACTTCTAAAATTGTTGTTTTTTTTGTAAATGATGCAGATGAATACAGAAGTGACTTTCATAATTGTAACTACCCATAGTGTACAAAAACAGTCAGATTTTTGTTTCTGAGCTTCATGCACAAACACTGTTCATTGTATTGGCTGAAGCAAATCTTTGTAAGAGGAATATATTATAAATAGAATAATATAAAAAAATGGAAGGTTCTAGTTAAAATTATGTCTATTGTTCATTCTAATGAATGACCCTGTACAGATGACACATTGGAATGAACATTTGTTCATTTCTTACCAACTTCTGACAAGCTGTTTTAACTGCTGTGTGGTAATTGACAGCAATACACCCTTTCAAATGATGAAAGAAAAAAAAGTATGCCCCTTTTGTATATGCCAATAGAATAACATGTGAAAAGAAAGCAACATCTGTTCCTCCCAAAGCCAAATAATTTGCTTCAGCTTTTGTTCTGTTGCAGAAGTCAAAATTTGTATAAGAAGAATCTCTATGCAGAAGCAATAAGAGATGACAGCAGCCGTGCTGACAGTGAGAACATGACACCTACTAGCAACAAGTCTCAGGTAACTATATTAATGTGGAGTGGAGAAGGAATCAGGAAGGATCAAAGAGTGTTAGGGATCCACTTGAGATTATCCATCAAATAATTCACATCTTAAATACATTAAATAACTGCTAGAGTCCTCAAGTGCTTTGCTGTGAACCCTAGTTCATCTTACCTCATTGTTATCCCTCAAAGTTCACAGCTGCCTGGATGTATTGCAACCATTAGCCAGTGTTATTGTTAGCTTTGAACACAACAGTTGGGGAACTGTGTTCTAAATTAAGGAAATGGCAATGTAATGACATGGCATATCACAGAGGTATTTTCACAGGAAAGTATGCCCTCCATAAAAAAAGGTTTCTTGGAAGCCAAGTATTGTGTATGCTACATGAGAGGCTGAACTTTATTTTGGGGGTTGATGAAATTAAATGTCTTTGTATTAGAAGCTGCTGCCTCGTAAAGAACAACCAGGATGTTATTGGGCAGTTTGGGAAAGTATATAAAATATTAATTTTACACTGGTGTAGGTAGAAACGCCACCATGATCTGGCTATACAGGCCTGTTTCTGCTGTCATATTTGAGGTTGCATTTGGCCTCATAAGATCTGGTCTGACCTGATTCTCACTGACATTAGAATGATATTACACTGCTGAGTGGTTACAACTGAAACTTGAGGTTGGCAAAAGTGACATAACTGGCATCTGTGGCTACTTCTGTGCGTAGACTGAGACTCCTTTCTCAGAACAGCCTGACATACCCTGAGAGCTCATCTGCACACACATCTCTTTCTGCTCTGAAGAAGCTGCTGTAGTGCAGGCATCACCATACTTGTCCTGGTAGCATCACATTAGCTAAGCAGCATGCAAACACACATTTATGCCAGTGGAAAACACTAGTGGAAGAGTTCACATGTATATTGGTTTGATGACAAACTCTAGAGAAGTGCATACCTTTTTACTAGGGTGACTGTGCACATGTTTTTCTAGTATGGGTGTTACTGCAAGGTTTTAAAGCCTTTCAAGCCCAACCATAGCTGAAAAGGTACAAGAAATGTGTATGTATTAGTCATGGTCACAAAAGAATTTGACATTCAATGGCCTGAAGTTTGACTCTGTTCCAAGTTGTTGCATTCAGAAAGAGATTAGTTTATTCTACTTGGGAGTCTGTTTGAAGGGTTGAATATCATTGAATATTTATAATGCAAATCCAAGAACATTTAATCAACCCAAAGAAGGCCATGCAAATGGTTTAGATAGAGTTTCTGGCAGGATTTGTGAGTGGGTAGCCACTGAAACACACTGTCAAACATTTGTTGGAAGTGCTGAATTGACTTGACCCTGGTTACAACATGTTGTTTTTTAGCTGGCCAACTGCATAATCTTGTGGACCCTTTATTATCAGCACTTTTCCACCAGGTACTGGACAGCAAATGTGCCGAAGCATGGTGATGCCATCACTTTTTTTTCACAGTAGAGGCAAAATCCACAGCTTTCAAAATACCTGAGGTTGGGAAAAGCAGAAACATCTGTTGGGACTAAGAACAGCTCATTGTCTGGAAGCAGTGCAGCCCATCAGCTCTGTCCCCACCTGCTGTTGACCCTGCAGTTAATGCTAGTCAATAATGACATTTTTGCTGAATATAGGGGTAATTAAACAGCTAAGCAATTGACTGAATCAACAAGAACAAATCCAAGCTACTCATCTATTACAACTCGTGTTACATTTCACCATGCACTGGGAGACATCAAATACATTAATAAAGTAATTTATTGCAAATGGCTTGTTGCAGACTGGAAGAGGAAATCACTTACCCTTTGCTAATTATTGCTGCTTACTCAGTAATGGATTCCTGTGATTTCATGCATGTGATTTTCTCAGTGCTGATGTAGCTGTTGAGTGTTGAGTTCACCAGGGCTTCATGCATGCATGCACTCAGGTTACAAACTGTAGAGTTGCCAAAAAGCACTTAGAAGTTGTCCATTCCTACTGTTCACTTCAAGTGGATTATTGGAGAGCTTTGTGTAAAAAAACCTAATTATCCTATATTGAGGATAGAAAACTCTCTAACTCCTCAACCCTTAAGGTACTGGAATAGAGTTTTAGGTGCTATTGATCTACACGACATTAATGATCATAACAAAGGACTTCACATTGGGGCTGGATGATGTATATGCAGTAACTCTAAAGAGATCATGAAATTTGCTTGTTTTGTAGTCCACAGTCCTACAGCTTATTTGTGAAGCTGGTGAGAGAGCATGCAAAGACTTTCTTGTTCTTGCCCATCTAGGTTAATGTGGAGGACAACACACATCAAATGCTAGGTATCATGTTACTGAAACTATGCCTATAAAGTGCCCAAATGTCACTCACTTCAGTTTACTTCTGGTTTGCTAGATGAGGGTACATTTACCTGAGGCTATGCCTGCATATTTGTTCACATTCATACTACAGTTTCATAAACCAGGCTAGGTTAATTCTAGTGATATATCAGCCTTGGTAAACCTATGCAGATGCCTAGATTTTGATGCTATTCTGAGGCTTCTCATCCACCAAGTGTTTTGCTTTGCACAGTCAAAGATACTTTGCAGAACTGTGTGTAGTGGAAGCACAGTCAATTTTGCAGAAATGTGTGTAGTGGAATCTTCTCCGGGGGTCTATCATATGTGGGTTAGCAGCTGTAAGCCTACAGACTTTGCAGAACTGTGTGTAGTGGAATCTTCTCTGGGGGTCTATCACGTGTGGGTTAGCAGCTGTAAGCCTACAGATTTTATGCAAATGAACCAATGCCTAAATTGTCACTCCTGCTACATCTGTGTTCTATCCACATAAATCCACCTGGACCCCTGAATCTGTTATTGTTTATGTTGGAACATATAATTTACAGGTATTCTCTCTTCTTCCCTGTCTGCTCTTTAAATATCACCCCTTTACTAGGTTTCCCTCTTTCTCTCTGTACAATTTCAGTGCAATGCTTCACATTGCTTTCCTCTATCCTTGTTTTTTCCATTTCCCACTTAGTCTTTTCAGTTCCCCCAGAGGGTGTCATCTTCTGAATTCCACTGTCACCATGGGACAATGGAACCACACCCCCCAGGTGGTGTTGAGAGCCAGAAAGGAAGGCTTTCTTCCTTCTCTGTGTCTGACAGGGTTTCCTTCTGTCTTGTTGCAGGTCTCGTTAACACTTTAAAAATGGCCCTCAGTACTGTGGAGAGGGTTGGTTTTCATGACCTTTTGTTCTCACACCTGGAAATATTGATGTGCAAGGCAAGAGAGTTGGCAGCTCTTTACTAGACTGGGACTGTCCACTTTCCAAAGAAAGACTCAAATATTTAATTATCTGCAGGGGAAGGGTCATCCCATAAGCCAGGATGACCTTTTCCTATTCTGTGGTTGGAGTGTATGGCCCTTCCAGTTTGCCTCTTGTGTTTCAGAAAACCAACAGAAAACCAACTCATTTTATATTAATTTGAGCTCTGCATGTTTTGTGCACATTGTATGTATTTGCAGTTTGCTGTTGTTAAGGAGTGTAACAGTTCTCTGGAGACTAAAGCAGTTGATCTAATTGAGTGTGAGATAGCAGATCCTCATCCTGCCTGTCCTTCAGAGTCTGGTGAGTAGGATTTCCTTTCTTATTAGGTCTCTCCTCTCTTTGTACCAGCAGGAGCAGTGGCTGATAGAGGAGACAAAGAAATCAAAATTTTATTTCTGGCCTGTTTAAAGCTGCTGTGCACAGCAGAAGCCCTGTTTGTGTTGCTGTGCAGAGACCGTTCAGTCTTCCGCTTTGTAGATTAGTCATGAGAAACTACACTATAATAGTGCTTTCCCACTCATAAGAAGCTAGATGCTTCTTGTGGTAAAATATCGGATTTTTGCATTTATAGAGAGCTTCACAGGTTTGCTTCATAGCAAGTGAAGTTATGCCCATCATGCTGTAGGGGAATGTCTATCCGTGGAACAGTATCCTTTGTCATCCTCATTCATTCAGGCAGGATAACTGAAATGATGTGAGGAGTCCAGGTCTCCCCCTGTGGCAGCAACTGCAGTTCTGCTTTTTGTGCTAAACAAAGTTTTTGACTGCTTGGGGAGTATTTGATGCTTAAGCAAAGATGAGATGAATGAAGGGGTTGTGTCTCCCATCCCTGGTCCAAAGGCAGCAGGCAGCATAGGAGCACACAACAAGCTTCCATGGCCCATAAGTTACCAGCTGGACCACTATGAATTTTAGGAAATACTGCTTTATAGGTGGCAACTGAATCTCTTAATTGCTCAGGTGGTGAGAACTCCTGGAAAAATACTGATATCCTTAACCATTTCTCTTATTTACCATATATACTTCCTAACTGCAGAAGTTACTAGAGAAGCCAGTTTGCCTCAGTCACTTGAAGAGGCAGGAATCTTGTGAAATTTTTAAAGTTGCCAATCCTGTCCTGAGACATACTTTGGGTAGTCTCTTTATTCATCAGTAGAAAATATGCCTCACATTCACTTAGTTGTACTAATATTGCAAACATGTGTAGAACTGTATTGTCCAGCAAAGGAGGTCTGATGTTTCCCATTAGGAGGCTCTGTTTTCATTTACAGTTTTATCAAATGCAGCTATTGAAACAGAAATTTCCCATCACAGGTGTCTGATTTTTTTCTGAATATTTTAGCAAAAGTGGTTCAGTCATCTTAGACAAGAAGACTGGTGAATATTCTGATATTTTTCTAACACGCTAAAGAAAATTCTTATACCATGCCACTGAATAATTCTAAGATTATTTGACTTTGAGGCAGGGACTTTGATTTTGCCAGGCAGGTAGTCTTCCTGTTATGGGCATGTGTTTCCCTGATCTTATATATTAAAAGAGAAAACCATGAAATTTTCCTAGGACAAGCCACTTGCTGAAATCATAGAATCACAGAAAATCTGAAGCAAGTTCTTGACTTTGCCTGGTTTTTATTCCTTTGACATGAGTTGGTATTGCAATTTTCTGAACCTGATTATGTTCTTCCTTTCATAGCTTTCGTCTCTCAAATCTGCCATTAGTTTTCTTTTAGCTTAGTTGCTGTGAATCTTCTCAAATGGCTTCCAGTAATATATATCTGTTTTCTCCAGTGGAAGAACAGCCTCCAACATATGACAAAGCAGCAGAGACTTTGGCAGAAGAGGAGAAAGAACAAGACCATCAACAAGAGGTTCCTGTTGGTGAGAAATCACATCTGCCCTTGGGAGCAGAGAAGGGCCCTCCCCATGCTCCCTGGAGCATCCACCCCAAGCTCCTTCTGGAAAAGGAGCCCTGCAGTCTTGCCCCAGCCAGCCTGCTGATGCAGCCAGACTAGAAGCAGTCTGAGTTTGAACAGGAAAAGGAGGAAGGATGCAGTCAGCAGAGAATGGGAACTCAGAAAGCACTGAAACAACCCTTATTTTTTCATTAAAACTTGCTGTAGGAAAAAAACACAAATCAAAACAAAGAATTCCTTGCCACTCTTTCTCTGTCACCTCTGCTTGGAAGAGTTGCTGTGAGCAATGTGTTAGCTATGAGTACTCTATAAATATCACTGCTGCTAACTTAATTAACTGTCCACTAAAAGGACACTGAGGGCAAAACAGACAAGTGGGGGATTTAGCAGTGATATGTATTTTGTAAAGGAGCTTATTGCAAGAAGTGGTCTTTACACACAGAGAGAATCTAGGAACTGCCTAGAAAATGGATCACAAGGACAACTGCAGAGAAACAGGAATGGAAGATGATGCAGAAAAATGAGTTCAAAATGGATCTTTTATTAAAATATTGTTCATGGACACTATAAGCCTCTCCCCAGTTCTGCTGACAGGCCAGTGTTGCTTCTTGGACTTCACATGTGATATTCTTGTATCTGGTTCTGGAGTGAGCACCAAACAAGATCTTGCATTGCTCAGGTTTGGTGTGCTGGAGGATGGTTTGTGGGCATATGTCATTAATAATGGGAAAGGTGATTCTTTCATTTCATTTCCAGTCTACACTGGTCCTTCAGAGCATAACAGGATTATCTCTGGCGCAACTGGCTCTGTGTCTGCTTTTAGCTCTGTGAGCATGTGCTGGAGCTGTCCTTGCCTCACAGAAATGTGTCTGGCACTGAAACCTGGTTCATTATATAGGACTTAGTGTGAGGACAGAAGTTCAGCCAGTTGCTGTTCCAAAAGAACAGGAGGAGTGGGGCAAAGAAACCCCAAAAATCCACCTCGGTTTGGACTGAGTTCCTTTCAACTGATTTGTGCTGTCTGTTAAATCCAAGGGAACAACTGGAAAACAAAAGCGTTTTTTCTTGTTATTAGCTTTCTAACAGCTACAGTTTCCTTCCAGTTATTTACTAATAACTAACTCTTTTATAAAGCTCTGTTGTATACAGAGTTGCAACTTAGTTGTTTATCATATCAAGTGATTTTCACTACTGGTCTCGACTTCCTAAGACCATTTTCAGAATGTTTTGGAAGATATCTGGAAATCAGCTGGATTACTAATTATTTGTAGAGGATCTCTCAGTCCTCTGTCTTTGAAGCCTACTACTGTAACTATTGGATACTTCTTTTAAGTTCACAGTGCCCAGCACTGGTGTTCCTTGTAACTAATTAGCTGGATAATAGTGGGAAATGTTACTGATTTATGTGCTTACTATCCTGCTTTTCTGGGTTTCTTTTTTCAATCCTGACAGAAAGGTATGGGATGTTGTAATTTTTATTACCAGCTCCGTAGGCCAATGATGGGAGAGAGAATGAAAGGCTCTTACCTCTTGTCCAGAACAGTTACACACTTGAGCAACTTTGTGGAGTCAGTTCTGATTTATGTTGGTGTAAACAGTAAGAACACTGAGTTCAAGGTGTCAGAATTTGTCATTTATTTATCCTCTAAAGTATTTTTGCTGGTGGTTTTGAATTGTTTTGTCTGTTTTCTAGTCACATCTGTGCTGAATTCAGAATAAACTTGTAAAACAGGCATTTCCAGAGGTTAGTTGGAACTAATAGCAATGAAGACTTATTTGCTCATGTGAATGGCCATGGAAAGAGGAGTGATTGAGGTGTTGGCATACTAAACTGTGTTCAGGAGTGAGCAACCACGGTGTTGGTAGATTTGATTTTAAATTCAGTATAGTTTAATTTCATTAACATTGTTAAAACCATCTAGTTTGGATTCCCTGGTCCTTGGGTTCATTACTGATCTTGTGTATTTTGATGGGAAGAGAGTCCAGCTGTAAAGGCTCCAGTTCAGAAAAGCATTTTTATTTCCATGAAAGCTGTGCAGTAAATAGACTTTCATCCATGCACTTTGATTTTATTCTGGTGAAGTATGTTTGTGTGCTTAAAACCTATGTCTTATGTTGATGACAGTCAACATTGAATTGGAAGTTCCCCCAATCAAAGGAAATAAAGATTTGTAACTTTGAGACTTGTCTAAATAAGGGTGTTCCAGACCCTATATAAAATAATTCGTTTCATATTCTATCCTGTTTAGGGTTTTTTGTTTTCCTTGAATCCAAGGATCTAATTTTAAATTTGACAGTGTTCTCTAAAGAATAAGATAGGGAAACCAAGTTGATATGTTTTTGTAATTAGCATGTTTGGAGCCTTAAATGTTTCCTAAACTCAGCTCTAAGCTCAAAATAATCCTTAGTGTAAAACCTTAAAATGATATTTCAACACAAATATAATATATTTGGTTTATTTGTATGTTTATAAAGCTCTTGATTTATAAAATAAAACAAACAAACAAAAATCCTTGCTGTCTGTCTTGTTTTAAAAGAAGAGAATGCAGAATTCTGTTTTCAGCTAACCCATGTCATGTGTGTTGATAATGCCACTGTTTTCATACAGCTGCAGTATAATGTGTTGCTGCAGAATGTGCAGATATCATGGGATTTTTGTTCTCTGCCCAGAGAATCTATAGTAATGAGAATTATCTGCTAGGTAGATCCCAGGTTAAATACGGTACAATTTTGTAAAAATTATTTTAGTTATACATTCCCATAAACCAGTAGAAGCCATATATGCTTTTTTTGGTGTGCATTTAAATAACTATTATGAATGTTGCTACTTGTTTGTCTAGAAATATTATCCACAGCTTCATGATATGTTTTCAAATTGATTGCCAAGACACTATTCTCAGGCTTTTCATGTAAGTCAGTTGAAGTAAAATGGTTGAATCCTGGAGGTTCCTCAGGTTTTTTGGGCTAAACATTCTTCACCAAAAAGACTTTTCAAATTATTAGAATTTCTGGGTATGCAGCAAATTCACTACACCAGTGTACTCTGACTTTTAAAAATGAAATTAACATATGTTATATTCTGTTGTAGAAAAGGAATTTAGAAACAGCTGGAAAAAGCTCGACATGTCCAAAATGAGAAAACTATGTGCAATTCTAAAGAGCAAGGGAGAAAATGAGTTTGTTTAGTTTCGTAAATCTTGACTTTATTGAAACTGACAATTCAATTCTCTAAAGCCATATTTTCATTGTAGAGAAGTGAGGAATGATTCATGCTCATTCATAATGCATACAGGCAATGCAATGGTTGCGAGTCATAGAAATGCATGACATCTCATTTTAAGTCCCTTTTGCAGTCACTTGCAGATTTGCAGAGGTTTATCTGTTCAGGCAAAAGTTTTTCAACTTGGTAATCTCCTTCAGGGTGAAAACTTTATTAAAAAAATTCTATGGAAGAAGTAAAAAGTTATTCAGAATGGGATTAGTTAGGGGAAACCGATGCCTTCTTAACATATATTGTGGGTTTGTCTTACTGAGAGTCATTTTATCTCGTGTTATTTCAGGGTGATGCCTACACTGTTCCATTAGTCTTCAGGACACACTTTGTGTTATTACTTCACTCTCTGATAACTTGCCATCTTTATCTCTGGGCATGTGAAAAGGAAAGAAGTTTAGTGGTATTAGAAGCCTCCCCCAGCACTACAGGAATGCACCCCAAACACAATCTGCAAGGGTGATAGCCTAAGCTGGCTCTTATTCCTCTGATCTTTTATTGAGACTGCTGTTTAATGCCAGTTTTGATGTGAACCAGGACCAGCCAACTTTCTGAAGACCATTCATCATGGGATTAACTTTCAGGCACTCCTCGGTACTGAAGTGGACTAGATTCAGACCAGCAAGTTTCTCCCTTCTAACTAGCCTTAGGTCCCTTCTAACTAGCCTTAGGGGCTCTTAATATCCTACAATTTCAAAACTTTGGAACTTCTCTTCTGAGGCAACTGCTGCAATAATCACATATAAAGATGCAGAAGCTTTTTTGTACTGGGACCCTGGACACTATCACATCTTCCTCCTCAAGCCTAGGTGTTACAACCAACATGTCTTCTCCCTGCCTACTTTCTGTTTGGGGGGGATAGTTATGGCTCTTCTGTTCTATTAGATGCAAGCTGAAGGTAATCCAAAGCCTAGAAGGGGTTTCTACACTTCATAGGTCAAGACCCTGTAGTCTGGCAGCTGTCTGTTTTCCAGGTAAGAAGTTAGGATATGTCTCCAAGATTAATTTTAAGAACATCTGAGACCCTTTTTTTTTACCTTGCACTCACTGCATGACACTGTTGCCTTTCTCAGTATCCAGTTTTATATCACATACATTCCAGGAGCTTCAGGTCACAGATAGTCTTGCCCATGTTACCCCTAATCTGTCCCAATCAGTCTGACCCTCACTGCATGCTCATTACAGGTTTTGGGATCCTGTCTGACAGCCAGTTTTCAGTCCATGGAGCAATACTGGCCTCACCCATATGGTATTTACCCAAACCAATTTGGATTGGTTTTAAAAGTAAGTCAAAGACACCATGTAAGGGAATTACTCACTTTTATGTGAGCAGCTACTGGAAACAGAGCAGCTGAAGTCCTGGTCCATTAATAAGTTCCCTAGGTATTAATAGGTTGTGAACAATGCAAAGAATACTTAATAATTTTCTATTGACTAAAACCAACAAGTTTTATATATTGTATTCCATCTACAGAACAGTGTGCACATTTAAATGGACATGATCTTTGTTAATATTGGTTGCACAAAACAATACATTTGACCATGATGTAATAAATTGAAAGAATGCACAGCTGATATTTCATTAGACCATTAACAATAGTTAATCATAATGTAGTAAGAGTGGTGAAAGTTTGCTGTGTATAAACTTACCATATTTCCACTCAAGAAAGAAATAAAATCCATTAACAACAGTTAATCATAATGTAGTAAGAGTAGTGAAAGTTTGCTGTGTATAAACTTATCATATTTCCACTCAAGAAAGAAATAAAAATATTTGCACAAAGACTATAATGGCCCAGTTCTGTGTAGCCTTTGTTCAGTGGGTGTG